CATTTATTGCTCTAACAACAAGCGCCGCTAAGCCGGAAAGCCGGAGACGACAGCCATAATGATGAAGATGGACAAGATTACGAGAGAACGTGCGGCAAGTTCATATGAAAATCGGGGCGACTTGCTTTCAGCCCAGTTCTTCAAGAACTATTGGGGGCCGACGAAGGTAAGTATAAATAAGAACTCATTCCCTCTTGTGGACAAGGATCCTCAGGCATTCCCTTATCTTACTAAAATTATTTCTCTCGAAAACACTATTCGACACCTATTAACTCCGACATCAGTCCGGGTTCTTTCTTTGTCGGTCGGCCGGAGTCCTCTAAAACCCCACCATTGAACAACTGACTCCTCAAAAGGGATCCCACCTCATCAATCATGTTGATCGCACGGATCACCATCCAATTCTTATTGCCATTAATATGTCATTACATTTTTAAGAACTTGAGACTTAGTGACTTTTTGTATTTATCCCTAGCCTATAATTAAATGTAAACATTATCAAATTTGGGAAAATTAGAGAAAATCCCCCATCTAGGAAATATAGTTAAAGAAACCCGAAACCCGAAACCCGAAAACCCCCTTAGCTAATATTCCACCCATATGATATTTTTATAATTCCAAAACCACCCTTAATTGTCTATTATACTCTTTCAAAACCCTAATCTTATTTTTAAGTTTTCATTCTGCTACTTTCTCGTTTCTCTCTTCTCTTCTTGTTTTCTCTCTTCTCTGTTTTCTTCTCTTTTTTCTCTTTGTTTTCTTCGGCAATCTTCTCTCCGTCGCTGCCGCCTCCGCCAGAAGATGAAGAAAGAATGAAGAGGAATCACTCGTCGTCGGCGTGTGGAGGAGAAACATTCTTCTTTCTCAACAGCATGTTCCACCCCGCCGGCGCGTGGAGGAAGAAGAAGAGGAACAAGCTGTTGAGAAAGAAGAAGAAACACTCGTCGTCGTCGGAGAATCAACGGAAATTGCTGATGAAGGTAATTTTTTTTTTTTTTTTTTTACTTTTATTATTTTTTTAGTGTTGGTTTTGTCATGTGCTCACAAATTGTTTATGGAGTGACCACCAATGGTTGACAATTACCTTTGAATTGTTCTTTTTTTTTTTTTTTTTTTTTGTGTGGACATTGATATGCTAATTTGTGTTTTTTTGTATGAATTATTTATTTTATTCTTTTTAAGGATTGGTTGAATTGTGTGGTGCGCGGTGTGGTGACGATGGGGAAGCAGATTTAGGGTTTTCCGGTGGATCAGGCGGAGGACGGCGCGTGTAGAGAAATTCGCGCAGACTGGAATCTTAATCGACTATGTACATGTTCAATAGTCGATTAAGCTAATCGACTATGCTCTGTTATTCGATTAAGGTTGATCGACTCCAATTTTTTATTTTTTTTTGGATTTTTTGTTTATTGATTCCAATTGTATAAATCATTTATAATGTTTGTATATTTTTTGTTTTTGTAAAATATAGTTGATTTTGCATTTTTTCGCAGTTGTGATTTGTTATTTTTAGTAGTAGATTTTTAATCGACTATGCTCTGGTAGTCGATTAAGGTTGATCGACTACAACTTTTTTTTTTTTTTTGAATTTTTTGTTTATTGATTCCAATTGTATAAATCAATTATAATGTTTGTATATTTTTTGTTTTTGTAAAATATAGTCGATTTTGCATTTTTTTGCAGTTGGGATTTGTTATTATTAGTAACAGATTCTTAATCGACTATGCTTCATCATAGTGATATAAAAACAAAAATTTAAAAACAAAAAAAAAAAAAAAAGTTAAAGAATTTCCTTAATCGACTATGCTTCATAGTCGATTAATAAAACTGTTACAGAAAAGGAAAAAGAAAACGAAAAAAAAAAACTGATACAGAAAAGGAAAAAAAACGGAAAAAAATAAAAATAAAAATAAAAATTTGCACGTGGCGCAATGATGATGTGGTGGGCAGGGACAAAGTTGGAAAATATAATGGCTGAAAATGGGTATAAAGTTTTCTCTAATGGAGCAAAATATTTCGGGCCTCTCCCCATTAAAAGAAGTAATGGGGGGTTAGTAGTAAAAAACGCGCTCCATGAAAGTTAGGAAAAGAGATTTCCACCGCCTTAGGTTTTCAGCCGCAGGCGGTGCTTCTTCGAGCCGTAACTTTTTTTTTGATGGTCAGAATTTAACGGTGCACCCACCGTACCCACCGTTGGATTCCTCTCTGAAAGACTTTATATACATTTTATTTCGTTTGATTTGGATCTCTAGATCTGTTTCTCTGGGCGTTGTCCCGAGAACGTGCGGTTTGACGACGAAGGTTCGTTTTGAGGCATATCTCGCTCGTGGTTGAAAATCGACGGGACTTATACCGTTGGATTCTCCTTTTCGAGGGCTATCATTGGGCGGTAGTTTTGCACGATTTGGATCTCTGAATCTGTTTTTGTGAGGATTTTATGGTGCGTGCGTAGTACTGCCGGCGAAGGGACTTCTAGGAGGCATAACTTCCTAACCGTTGGTCGGAATTTAACGAATCTTAAACCGTTGGAATCCTCTCTTCAAGAGATTTCTTTTGGGTATAATTTGGCACGATTTGGAGCAGGATATCTGGTGCTTTTATCATGTTACAGTCGGCGTGACGAGTCCCACGTTGCAAGGACTCTTAGTTGCGGTGGAGTTTTGAGATCCAAGGGATCTTCATAGGGTTTTGGGCGTGAATTTGCAGAGAGAAACATTTTCTAACGCTGCACATGGCGAGGAAGGGTGGGCGTGGTAAAGAAACGCTTGGTATGGGAGGGGAAACGGGCAAGGGCATGGTCAAACCCTTGCCCGCCCAACCGGTTACGGGTTTGGAGATTGGCGCGGCAGCTCCCACCACATCGGATCCTATTACTTCGGCCATTCCTCAAACCGAAACTTCTAGGGCAGCAGAGGAACGTGAACAAGTTCCTGTTGTTCGCGGTATATAGAACGGGTAGTGAACTTAGGAAAATGGTCGAATATATTAGTTGGTAAAAATCCAAAAGATTAGTCGAGGTGAGTAAACTCTTTCCTTAAGACGATATTGTTCTGCTACGGTGCTTACGGTATCCCAAGATACAACGGCTAAACTCGGAATATGAGCACTCAAAATCCCGAGTACAACGAACGTTACTTTGTGTCTCAAACTCTCGAATCGAATACGGAAGAAAATATTCTAGAAAGAATATTTTCGGGCTAAAGAAAAAAGAATCCCATAGAACAAAATTATGGAATTGAATTAATTTTTTCATGTAGATGTAATCAAACATGTGTGGCATTTTATTTATAGGTTTCCAATGGTTGTGAGTAATAAACACAACCCTTAGGAAATTAAACAAATGAAAAGGTGTGGGTACACCTCTTCATATTGTCACTCCTATTTGATCAAATAGGTGCCTAAAAACCATTTTTTATTTCCATTCAAAAAATAATTTTATTTTAATAAATAAAATTTCCAGCAGTTCCCACCGGCGACAAGGAAGGTCCGAAAACGTGGGTAAGTTTCTTTAAAGGAACGCGCCCACTGTCGGTTGACTTGGCGCTCCACCCGGTGGAAGGATTGGATGACTCCGATGTCTTACGATTCGGAGAAGACCATGTAGAAGACTTGGATACGAGGGGTGTGTTCTTGAGTGTCGGTTATTTTCCTGGGCCATTACCCGGAATAGATGCGATCAAGGACATCAAAGCAAGATGGGGGGTCCCGTCGAAGTACCAAATCCATCCTACCGGGTGGATTTTGTTCAAATTCGAAATGGACCAAGATAGGACGAAGATTATGGAGGCGGGAAAGTATAATTTTGGTACTTCCACGCTGTATGTTCGTTCGCAAGATGCCAAAGTTCTTTAACTTTGACATCCGAGAGATGGTCTATGTTTTCGGTTTGGGTGACGCTTCGCAACATATCCGGAGAATTGTACAACCAGAAGTCCCTTAGTATGATTGGCCAGAAGATCGGTCGCCCGGTTCAAATGGACAAAAATACAAAGGAGTTGGCCAGCTTTGGTTACGCACGGATTCAGGTGGAGGTGGATGCTTCGAAACCTCTACGGAAATCGTTGCCATTGATCAACTCGTTGAACCAATCCTCTTAGGTTCAAATCGAGTATGGTTATGTTCCGGCCTATTGCACTAAATGCAAAACGATGTCTCACACATCGAAAAAGTGTAGGGCTTATGTACTGAAGAAACGACGCCTGATCCGGAAAAAGGCAGCACCCTCTGCCCCCCCGGAGGATGCTACGACCGTGACTCCACCCGAAGTAGGGGGAGGATGCCATTGTTCCATGGACGGGCACCCGCACGGTATTTGAGGATTTGAGTGATAGGGATGCTTCGGATATAGACATTAGGGAGGAGGATGTGGCCGAAGATGATGACTTTACGGGAATACCTCTTTCCAATGTCAACTTATGTGGTGGAATTCCGGAGTATGATATGGTGTTGAGAAACTCAGGTGAGTATATATCTGCGTTGACATCCGACAATAACTCCTCCTTGCACATACTATCGGAGCTCAAAAAGACCTTCTCCTCTCCAGTTATGATCGACAAAAAATGATCGTTCACAAAACCGACACTTTCATTAGTGGGTGCAAGAATTGCTCTGCCTTCGAAATACTCGGGAGTGAAAAGGTTGGTCACCAGATCGGGATAGACAAATTCTATAAGATCCAAAAAGGGATCTGAAGAATTCCGAATCAGCATGTCATCAGGAATTTCAAATGTGGCATCACCGTCATTTACCTCGCCACCATCGCCATTGCCGATTCTCAATATCCATTTCGCAAATTCTCTTATTTCATCTGCATTGGGGGAAGAGGAGGACAACTCAAGTCTCATGTTCTTGTTCAACTTCATAACGTTACATTGTATCAACAACGGTGATGAATTGATTGTATCATGAACAATGTCTTGTCTCAATGCTTTCAACACAACTGGTAGAATTTGCCGAAAGTCCCCTCCAAGCACTACAACCTTGCCTCCGAATGGCATATCTTAATCAAGTATAGATTTCATTATTTTGTCGACTGCTTCGAAACAGTACATGTGCATCATCGGTGCCTCGTCCCATATGATTAGCTTTGCTCTAGACAACAATTCTGCCAGTGGGCTCTGTTGTTTGATGCTGCATGTGGAGTTGTCATGTACAATTATTGGCAGTCCAAATATCGAATGAGCAGTTCTGCCACCTGGAAGTAGAAGCGAAGCAAAACCACTGGAAGCAACATTTATAACTATTTCGCCTTTTGAATGGATAGCAGCCGACAAAGTTTTCCATACGAAAGTCTTTCGTGTTCCTTTATGCCCATAAAGAAAGAACAGTCCACATATGTCATTTGTAACAGCATCCATGATATAATCGAACACTTTTTAATAAATAGTTTCCTCCATTGAGTTCTAACAAATATTTGATAATAAAAAATTTCTCCAATTAATAAAATGAATGGTTGATATGCAATACAAAACAGTAGGAAACTATTAAATAAAAAACTATTTCGTATAGTATAAGTGATCAATTAAGCCAAAATAAGTGGAAAAGTTAAAAATCAAAGGTTTATTTACCGTATACAAAGAGTGAATACACCGTTGGTCCCAAAATTGTACAACCATAACGACCAATTAATTCAAATTCTTAATTTGATCCAAACAATTATTGTTATTGCGTTTGATAACAACAACCCTAACGCATGTATCTAATACAGTGCGAGTAACCTATATATTTTGTACAGTGGTCATACGAAATAACAAACAATTACCAAAACAACAACAATATAAATGTTTAATGAAATAAAATCATTTTACACTAAATTTATCTTGATAAAAAATCTCGAGTGGAATCGATAGTAAGTTCATAGTACAATACAAATTACGAATAACCATACATATAATTAATAAAAAATTAAAGGTTGTTATTTAATAATGTATACAATTTTACGTAGTTACCTTAATATATGATGAAAAGTTTCCAGATGTACCACATTGTTTGTAACGTTGGTCGAATCCCCAGATTCCTACTTGATAAAAATCTTACATAGGGGTTATTTAATTGAACAGGTTGCACACCAGATTTGGATAAACAAACTCTATAAGATCCAAAAAACGAATCGAAAGAATCATGAATCGGCATGTCATCGGGAATTTCAATTCCAGTACTGTTTTATTAATATCAATCTTAATCATAATCCTCAATTTATTTTATGCTACACCCAATAAAATACACCAGGTAGATCTTTACCATTCATATGCGCACAAATATACAAACACATATATTGGTGTGTGGATCCAAGGTAAAAAAATTACCCAGTGTAGTCTTCATCGGCTGTAGCAGAGAAATAACCCATAATCCTCATACTAATATTAATACTAATAATATTATTACATATATCATATGATAATGCTAACTTTAATATACTAATGTCAATAATAATACTAATATTAATATACCAATAACAAAAACAATACTACTACCAATATCAATACCAATACCAGTACCAATACCAAAACCAAAACCAAAACCAAAACCAACACCAACACCAACACTATTACCATTACCATTACCATTATCATTACCAATCACATTACCATTACCGTTACCATATCCCTTACCATTCCCGTTAAAATTGCCATTATTATTGCCATTACTATTACCATTATCAATACCATTACCATTGCCATTACATGTACCATTATCAATACCAATAAAAATATTAATACTAATATCAATATCAATACCAATATCAACACAAATACCAATACCAATACCAATATTAATACCAATATCAATACCAATACTAATACCGATGTCAATACCAATATCAATATTAATACCAATACCAATAGAAATATCAATAACAATAACAATACCATTACCAATACCATTACAATTATTATTACCATTACCATTACTAATAATCTTAATCCTACTCCTAATTGAAATTCTAATCATAATCCTATTCGTAATACTAATGTTAATCATAATACTAATCATTATTCTAATCATAGTCATAATACTAATGCTAATGCTAATGATAATACTAATACTACTACTAATACTAATAATAATATGAATATCAATACCAATAGTACTAATGTCATTATCAATACCATTACCATTACCATTATCATTATCATTACCATTATCATAACCATTACCATTACCATTACCACTACCATTACTATTACCATTACCAAAGCTAATATACTAATGCTAATCATAATGCTAATGTTACTCCTAACCCTAATCATAATCCTATTACCCATTCTAATTATAACTATAATCCTAATCACAATCCGGATCATAATTATAATCATAATGCTAATACTAATCTTAATCTTAATCCTAATACTAATTCTAATCATAATCCTAATAATAATAATATTGATCCTAATTCTTATCCTAATAAAAATCGAAATATGCTAATGATAACGCTATTCTTAATACCAATCCTAATATGCTAATGGTACTGCTAATCCTAATCCTAATTCTAATGATAATGATAATACTAATACTAATACTAAATATAATCATAAAGCTAACCCTAATAATAATATGCATACTGATATTAATCATAATATGCTAATGCTAATGCTAATATTAATGCTAACAGAATACTAATATTAATACTATTACTATTACTAATACGAATAATAGTAGTAATACTAATACCAATACTAATATTAATACCAATACCAATACAAATACCAATACCAATACCAATACCAATACCAATACCAATACCAATACCACTACCAATACCAATACCAATATCAATACCAATACCAATACTAATACTAATACTAATACTAATACTAATACTAATACTAATACTAATACTAATACTAATAGTAATACTAATATTAATATTGTTACTGATACTAATACTAATACTGATATTGGTACTAATAAAGCTACTGATACTGATAATAATATTAATACTGATACTGGTAGTGATACTAATACTAATACTGATACTTGTACTAATACTCATACTAATACTCATACTGATATTAATATTAATGTTAATACTAATACTAATACTAATACTCATATTCATACTGATACTAATGCTAATAATAATAATAATACTCATATTGATACTGATACTGATACGCATACTGACACTCATACTAACACTCATACTAATAGTGATACTCATACTCATACTAATACTCATACTGTTACTCATACTGTTACTCATACTAATACTGATACTAATACTGATAATGATACTGATATTGGTAATGATAATAATGATACTGATATTGATACTGATACCTATACTAATACTGATACTGATACTAATACTGATTATGACACTACTAGAAAACCGCCGATTAGCGACGGACATTGGCAACGTATATCTGATTCGTTGCTACGGTAAAGATTTAGCAATAGCATTAGTGACGGAAGATGAAATCGTCCCTTTGGTGGTGTTACTCTGCTTTTAGCGACGAATGTTTGCGACAACTGATAAGTTTGTTTCAAAAATAATGTTCCAGCAACAAATATAGCGATAAAAAATAGAGTCGTTGCAAGTGTAGGTAAGTAGCAACGAACCCTAGCGACGAATATTAAGTCTATTTCTAAAATAAATTTGTAGCAACATATGTTGCGACGACTATATATTTGTTGCTAGGAAAATTGTGTGGCGACGGATTTGAGCAAGGGATAACAAATTCGTTTCTAATTTGAGCGACAAATTTAGTGACGGCAACTATAATCGTCCCTTGGGTTTAAAACAATCAGTAAGTGCTACAGATATTAGCAACGAAAACTATATCCGTATCTAAGATAAATAATTTGCAAAACTGTAGTGACGGATATTAGCAATGACTAACAAATCCATTTCAAAAGTACATTATTATTGATACTAATATTAAAACTAATATTAATACTAATACTAATACTAATGCTAATACTATTACTATTACTAATACTAATGTTAATATTAATATTATTACTAATACTAATATGTTAATATTGTTAATGTTAATGCTAATGTACTAAAGCTAATACCAATTATAATGCTAATGCTAATCTGGATATGCTAATCATTGTGCTAATGCTAATTATAAGTGTAATCCTAATATTATCCAAATCATTATCATATTCATAATCCTATTCATAACACTAATCATAAATCTAATCTAATCATAAATCTAATCGTAATCCTAATCCTATTCCTAACACTAATCATAATTCTAACCATAACCCTAATAACTTTAATACTAATAATGCTAATGGTAATGGTAATGCTAATATTAATTATAATTCTAATTCTAATCTTAATTGTAATGATAATCTTAATCCTAATACTAATTATAATCTTAATACTCATACATGTCATTAATTGTAGTACTAATCATAAGCATAATTTTAATTATAATTTTAATACTAATATAAATCATAATCATAATCCTTATTCTAATCCTAATCCTAATCCTAATCCTTATCCTAATCTTAATATTAATTCTAATACTATATTAATCCTAATTATAATTCGAATCCTAATCCTAGTATTAATACTAATACTAATTCAAAGAATATTAAGTATAATCCTAATACCAATCACAATCATAATTCTGTTTTTGCATCATTTTTTTTGCAATGATCTATTATTTTGTATCAAAAATATTCTATTAAATCACGCAACATTTATATCAAAATCCTTATGTGTGGTAGCCGAAACATCAAAAAACACATATTAAATATATTAGAAATTAATATTTAATTATATTATCAAAATGACATTAAAATTATTTAAAATATTATAAGGATACCAGAAAACGTTAGTTTCACATGGCAGACAAAAAAAATAGTGCCATTTTTTGCATTATACAGTAGTATAGTCATGTTCATGTAAAGTGTATTTTATCAAATTATTTATTATGCAATATGTTTTTTAATATAAATCTATGTTTATGAATTCAAATATTTTTTTTTGTAACACCACCAATCAAGGGATTATAATAAGGGAAGATTTGAAATTTCCTTTAACTAAATTCAAATTAAATTAATTATTATTAAAATTAAATTAAATTTAAAAATAAATCTATTTAGAATTTCCAAGAAAGTTGATATATTTAGAGCATTTTATAAATGATAGGATATAAATATATTAATAAAATAATTAAATATATTTAATTATCTTTAATTTTAGAAAATGGTGACATGTTTTTTGATGATTTATTTTCACCAATCAATTTGACACATGGGATGATATTGAATACATGTCACCAATTGAAATTGTCAAATGTCAAACAATTGAGGATGTAATTCAAATTTTAGATATTATATAACAAGTTACATTAGATCTTATTATATAATGAAATATTACAATAAAACATAAGCA